CGCAAAGCCATTGAAATGTATTGAGTCGGCTTCAATACATTCCAATGGAGGAAACATTGTTTCACTCAACGATGTTTACTATGGGTTTTTTCACTTAAAGACGGCTATCTGTTCCAATTGGAATGGATTAACCGGTTTTCAATTCATTCCTATGGGAAATGGTGTTTCACAGAACGATGTTTCACACAATGTTGATTTTTTTGGAACCAATTAACATCGTTGTGTGAGGCACCACTGTATTAGGTTTCAGCAAAGCCTAGGGAAGTAACGTTTCTGAACCAAAAGGCCCAGAATCTCTCAGCCAGCATGGCTGTATTGTTTGGATGACTCTGGGGGAGATAGCCCAAAAAGTCACCTTTCCAAGCTTTGACCCAGTTCATCCTCATATTACCAAGGTATTGATGCATTGTATGGTAATACCATACTCACAAATGAGAATATGACTGACTTAACTATGTGAAAGCCAAAGGGGGTGTTTGCTGTTTTTTTGAATTGGAATATTTTAAAACATTTGAAAGTTTTTGGTTCAATTAGTTCATTACTTTTTCTCACTTAAGTACAAAGATTCAATACTTCCCAAAAGTGAAATGAAAGGTTTCTGTGAATTCAGGAATTTGGCTTTTAAGGCTAAGATCATTGCACTCTATTGAGATTCATGGCATTCAGAAAAGATCCAAATATTGTGACTGGCATTAGAAAGAGGATGGGAAAATCCCCTTCCCTTTGTAATTTAAATGTGATTGACTGACAGGTTTACAAAAGTGAGTGAACATTAGACAGAGCACACATTGTGACTGCTGCAGACAGAACCTTCTGACTGACAAAGACAGTCTCCTAGCAATTCTTATTAGTTCAGCTACTGCTTGACACACAGGTGACGTCCTCTCTGCCCGCTTTTCAGATAAAATAGATGCTTGTTACAACAAGCAAGGATGGGAATTTAGCACTAGACAGAAGGGGAGGGGTTGTAACAATATGTTGATGAATGGAATACTCTTGTTCAGTGTTTCAGCCAGCCATGCCTTTTTCCAGAATACTCCATTAAATCCTCCCTCTCTCCACCCCCACCCATCTTTCATTCTCATCCCACCCATGTTGAGCATCTGTGGTTACTGAGCATGATCCTTCTTCATTAGGACAGCTTGGATTTTGACTTGTTTGTTTGTTTGTTGGATTCTCTCTCTCTCTCTCAGTACTTCTCTGAACACTTTTGGAACTCTTTTAAGGATCCTTGAATGTTTTTGTTTCCTAGCAGTCATATTTGGGCTCCCCTGGCTGCTTTTGCTACTACAAAGTTCAGCGAAGTTTGCACTATGAGTGATACAACTTGGTGACAACAGAACTTAGGGACTATAAGATGAAAGAACAAATTCATCAGGGATGGAGTAGCTGTGACTGCTAACAACGACAGATATACACTGATCAGCCACAACATTTAAATCATCTGTCTAATATCATGTAGGTCCCCCTTGTGCTGCCAAAACTCCTTTGATGTGATGAGGCGTGGGCTCCACAAGACCACTGAATATGTCCTGTGATATCTGGCATCAATATATTAGCAGAAGATCCTTTAAGTCCTGCAAGTTGTGCCTTGAATCAGATTTGGTGTTCCAGTATGTCCCACAGATACTCAATCAGATTGAGATCTGGTGAATTTGGAGGCCAAGGCAACACTATGAACTCTTTGGCATGGTCCTCAAACCATTCCTGAACAATTTTGTGAGTTGTGGCAGGATGCATTATCCTCCTGAGAGGGCATGGTCCACAAACCATTCCTGAACAATTTTGTGAGTGTGGCAGGATGCATTATCCTCCTGAGAGGGGCCACTGCTATCATGAATCATCATTGCCATGAAGCGGTGTATGTGGTCTGCAACAATCTCTAGGTAGGTGGTACATGTCAAAGTAACATCCATATGAATGCCAGGACCCAAGGTTTCCTAGCAGAACATTGCCTGCACCAGTCTGTCTTCTTCCCATAGTGCATCCTGTTGCCATCTCTTCCCCTGGTAATTGTGTGTGTGTGTGTACTGCACTGTTCTTACACGTGAGAATGCAACATGGAGAATTCACATCTCTACAGTTTCAATAATACTGGAGTTTAATGAAGCAAACCTGTTGATGATTTCCTGTCCTCCCCATCCTGCCATAAACAAGCTTAGCTGTACAAAAAAGCTTGCCTTTTGGTTTTGCTTAACTCCCAGGCTTTGATGGCCCTAAAAGCTTGTGGCTGGGCAGTTTTAGGTCTTATGTAATTTTACTGGCTAAGTCCAGAACTGTTTTTTTTAAAAAAGCAAAAACAAAACTCAGTTCTAGAAATGTCTATAAGGAAACCAACTCTGAGATTTAAAGAGTAGTCGTTGTCGTAGCAGTAGTGAAATCATCTTCCATAAGTGAAAGCTGACTGCTGAAAAGATGTTATGATCCAATGATATGATGTGTATTGGCTGTTCATTACTAAGTACTGCAAGAGAAACAGCGTACTGTACTTATAAGCTGAAAACACTTTCTAACGCAGAAATCATATGTATTATAACAATTATTAAATTAACCAATACAGTGAACCTTCTATATGTATGGGTTCACTATATCAATCAATTAATTAACCACTCAAGCACACAGGATTTCTAAACAAGACTCTCTTTTCTACACTAGCAAGCAAACTCAAAATACCCTGGCCAATAGGAAAGGCATTCTCACCTTTCCAAATACTGTACACATGGGAACGTTACATTATGATCTAGTGTTGTATCCAATGCTACAATAGGCAAAATCATGTTGGTGCAATTCTGCCATGGTAAACTGGATCAAAGTTCCAGAAATAATATTAATTTAAAGTTTCTGATCCCCCTGTTTCAGCTTCTGAGGCTCCCTGGGGCTCTCTTTTTTCCGTGGGAAAGCCTCTGGGAACCTTCCGTGGGATAGGGAAGTAAAACGTTGGGGCTGGATTTTCACCACTGGGAGCAGGGCTGCTGGTCATCCTGAGGCTCGCAAAGGCTTCCCAAGGGCATAAGGGAGCCCCCTAGGGAACCATGACCTTTCTCTCACTGACATTCCATCTCTCAGCTCCTCATTGCTGCTCATTTGTTTTTATTAAAGGAGCAATAATAAAAGGCAACTTTTAAACATTATGCGTAATAAAGAACAGAGATTCCTGGGTTCTATTGTCTCTGTTCCATCAACAGTGTTGAAAATTCTGGTTTGTATTTTTGTATGAAATGTAACTTCATACTCTTTTTTTTATATCTTTAATAGCACAACATTCTTGTTTATACTATGGGAATGAAAACCAGCCCTCAACCATAGCCATTATTGGGACATTCTTTTCTTTCCCACAACTGCTAATCCAGTTCAATATTCAACTAATGAAAGCCAAAAAAGCAGAGGGGAGGAGAGGTGTGAAAATGAGTCACACAGTAAACAGTACAGTACACAGAAAAAGAAACATATTTTTTAAAGAATTCCAAAAACGTATTCCACATACTATTAAATTCACGGTTAGCACTGCCCTTGTTAAATGGCACAGTGGTGCTTTTGGCACATTCCCCAAAGGCAGAAAATAAGGTTCTCCATCTGAACACTCATACCGAGCACAATCATAGGATATGTATATAAATATATGTCTACTAAGTCCCATTAAGTTCAGTAAGGATAATTTTTTGGCTAAATAGGAACAAAGACAGCAGCCTTAAACTGAAAGGAAACTGTCCACATCCTGAGGCATGGTAGGAAACTCTCTTAACTGATTTGATCTATATTTAGCTAGCTCCCACTTTTCTGCAGAAACAGGACTTCTTCTAATGGTATATAATGAAGAGAGAGAGAGAAATGAACAGAGCTACATCTAAAGGAATGCTATGATTCATGAAGGGACATAAGGGCAGTACAGAACTGTATTCTTGGCCCAGAACGCACAGGAAAGGGATGTGTTGGTAAGCTGACTAATAGATATTCAAAAGGAAATCAAAGTATTTTCAAGCTCTGGATCTAGGCCAGAATAGCATAGTTGCATAACTGCTCACAGATCAGTCTTGCTTCTGTGCCTAGGATCTAAACTGCACTAGCGAAAGGGCAGTTTTCCTGCTCAGCATTGTCTTTTCTCATTGAATGTTGAAATCATCCATCTTTTCAAAGCTC